AAACAAGCAATCTCGTGGAGATTTTTTAGAGTTTTTTAGCTTCGTAGTAAAGTAGCAAATGGACTCCTGGCGAGAGGCGTTGTGTGACAACAAGAAGTGACGTGCGTGGCGAATATACTTATCAGAGTTCTAATCTGAGATTTTTCAGTAAATAAACTACACTCATAAGATTTTTTTGGTGAGTGGTAGTTGGTATTTCGTGATAAGATTTACCTAGTTTTAAAATAATTTACGCAACACCGAGTCCGATTTGTTTGTTAAATACCACACAACGCATCACGCCAGAAGTCCATTCGCTACTTTACTACGAAGCTAAAAAACTCTAAAAAATCTCCACTAGATTGCTTGTTTTGTAGCTAAAATTCTTCCTTGACATAAACCCTTTTATCTTAAAGTCATACTTTTAGTCATCAAGCAAAAGCGGGGATGAAATAAGCCTTCGTTTCTCATGGCTTTCGATTTGTTTGTTGTAACACAACGCCGAGTCCTTTCGCTACTTACTACGAACCAAAAAAAAAACTCCATTAGATTGCTTGTTTCGTAACTAAAATTCTTCCTTGACATAAACCCTTTTATTTTGAAGTCAAACTTTTAGTCATCGAGTAAGACCGGGGATAAAAATAAGCCTTCGTTTCTCAAAGTTTTCGATTTGTTTGTTGTCACACAACGCCGAGAGTCCAATCGCTACTTTGCTACGAAGCAAGCCAAAATAACTCTGCAAAACTCGACTAGATTTCTTCTTTGTAACTAAAACTTTTTATTTGTCAGAAAAGTTCTTCAGTGAACTCAAGATTCTGTTAGTCGTCGTTAACTCGCGCGTAAATGAGATGTAAATATCCTCTCTTCGCTAGGTTTAGATTTCTCCATCGACATCTGACCAGAAAATTGATAAGTTTCGATGCCGTAAAACACAATTTAAATTTATCGATATAGACTCAAAATTAATAGCTATGTAATATATCCCTGATATTGTGATATTTAACATTTTGAGATAAGGTAGTGAATCGACTTCTATTAGTAGCGACTCGACTTCTATTAAGTAGCGAATCGACCTTTTAGGTAAGTAGCGAAAGTGCAAGGTAGCGAAAAGACCGGATACCACTAGGAACACCCTGAATTAATTTGATTTGATTGAAAATTCTAGAATAATGCGTAACCATTAAACTAAGAAATGATACTCTACAGAACGACACATGTAAGTCTGAAATGGGAAAACAGTGTATTAGGTCTATTACCACTCACTCATGTATTACTGGGGCAAAAACAGAAGTAATACTCAAGGAAATGAAAAGTTGTCTGAAATGACAAACGGTGTATTGCGTTACTTATTCACTAGATATTTGCACAAATTAACTCTAGCGTGACATTAGATATTTAATTTATTGGGAAAAGGAGTTTGCTATCAAATTCATTACATCAATGATAGTAAAAATGCAAAGTTTCAAAGATACGAATTTTTCAATTAAGAATCTTTGCGGATTTTTTGCAAAGAAACATGAAATGTATGTAATGAAATTAGTAAACTCTCCCGATAAATCAAATATCTTATTATGTCACACTAGTGTGAAAAGAGTCAATTAGATCAAAACTGCTGGTCAGCTTTGACATTGTCACAAATCATTGATAATGTAAAAGAAAAATAAAAAATTTTTTTATGATTTTTGATTGATCAAATGTCATTTATATTTTATTATTTATTTTCATCGTTTAAATTAGCAAGTATGGAGATTTTCTAAAAAACTATTCTTAAATTTGATTGTCCACACCCTATTAGGGGTCCCATAAAAGTTAATATACTGCTTCTTGCACCCTTTCAATTGCCCCCCCCCCCCCCCCCCCCCCCCCCCCCCCCCCCCCCCCCCCCCCCCCCCTTCAATTAAAACAAAGAGAATATTCTCTTGATTAAAACCCAATTAATACCTACCCACACCCCCCAAGATCCTTAACTCAAAAATAAACCTTGATGGTCCAACAAACCGTTTTCTCAAGGTTGCGTACGCATCCAACTTTACGGGCCACAAAACTGAAAAACGCAAATTCAGTAAAATTGAGAAGGCACATTTATATTTGAAGAGGAGAATAATCGATTTTATGAATTCTTATCGAAAAACATTTCATGGCAATGCATGATAATACTCGTGTTCCAGTATTGTGGCCCGTCAAGTTCCTTGAATTTGGATGCGTGCGCAATCTTGAGAAAACCGTCTATTCTAGACAAGCTTCTGCATCAGCATTGGGAACTACAAATAACCCTAATGTTAAAGGAGGCAGAGCCAGAGGCTTTCCTGCTGGAACAGAGACAGGATTGAGTGATGGTAGAATGTGGTCATCTTTCATTAATAACACTTCTCCATTAAGCTCTACGTACCTGAAAGTACAGAATTTGTGTTTTCAAATGATTGATGTTTTGGAATCCTTCCCAAGAGAGTTAAATGACAAAGGCATAGCAATGAGAAATCTGATGAGGCTGCATTCATAATGCATGGCAGAGGGGGGGACAGGTGAAATTTAGGGGGATCGGGAAAATTTTGGTAGGAAAAAGTGGGGATGGGAAAATTTTGGTAGGAAAAAGTGGGGATGGGAAAATTTTGGTAGAAGCTACTTGAGCCTTGCTTAGGGGGGATAGTATTTTTTTGCATGACTTTAACGGGGGGTGTTAAGAATTATTCTGAACATTTCAAATTTTCACAATAAGACATAAGTCAATAAGACGATAAATTTTCACAATAAGACATAAGTCAATAAGACGATAAATTTTCACAATAAGACACAGTTAATAATTGGCTGATCATCAGACCAACAGTTGGCCGATTATCAATCCTCATATGTTGACTATTCATAAATTAAGTACATGATTGCAAGGCACAATACACCTTTTTCTGCTGGTCAACCACTCAGAGAATAAATTAGTGAAGTCATATTTAATATAAGTAATTCTATAAAAGTAAATATCGGATGTTTTCCACTTACTCTGATGTAATATTCTCTTGATGAGGGGATAACAAGTATTGATCCACAGGTAGTTGATAGAATTTGCCTTTTAAATTGAGCAAAGCTGTATCATTTGGATCTAAGTTTATGGCCAATATTGTTACTGCGCCTGTAGCATATTGCCTAAAATGATAGATTAGTCACTCTGTTATATGTAATAAATAAATAATCGTTAGTAGTTGCTTCTTGGGTGGAATGCTACTAAACGGATCACTGAAAGTGTTTTATGTAATATAAACAATATGAGTGGCCGTGTTGGATCAGATATACAACCACGAGCTGAAGGCGAGTGATTGTATATCTGATACAACACGGCCACTTATATATTACTTATGAAACGTCTAGGTGTATAACTTCATGTTCTACTATAATTTTAAGGATAAAATTGAATTTGGCTAAGAAAATTGGAGTTAAAGTTTATGCAAATCAGGACGATTTTATATCAGATATACAACCTCCTCCACGGGCAATGATTTCTATTGTGTTTTCCTCATGAATTATTCATGAGTTTTATAATGTATGGTAGAAAATGCATTGTAGTTTTCATTGCCGTTTATTCATACAGCTAATTTCAGGAAACGTTGGTTGTCGCATGTTGAATGTCTCATGTCGCATGTTGCATGTCGAATCTTGCATGTTGCATGTCGCATGTTCAACGTTGCTCGTCGCATGTCGCATGTTCCACGTTGGCTCGTTGCATGTTGCATGTCGCATGTTGCATGTTGTAAGTCACACTTCGTACTTAACGAAGCATGGAAAGGCTGTCATATTCGTAAGAGAAAGGTTTGATGACAGCCATGATGCGAGGCAAAACAGATGTTTTACTACGTATTGTGGGAAAAAATTCATTGCTACTGCCCTGCCATATAAAACCCATCTAGTTATATAATACATATATAGAGGATATTGCACGGTGGCGCGAAGATATGAAGTTTATCTTCGAGTGGTGAAATATTTTTCGACACGAGAAGATAAACTTCATGTCTTCAAGCCAAATTGTAATTTTCGTTTTATCATATAGACATATCCACAAAGAAAAACTACGCATTAAGCTAATCAAAACAGGTCCCGGGAAACATCGCAAGTGAGGTCATCGATATCCTCAGACGATATGGGAAATATGTTAATCAGGTTCCAGATGTAGTTTGTACGAAAAATACGAGTGGCGTATTTCCCACTCGTAAAACACTCATGTCTATATAATAAATAGTAATAACTCCAATCACACACCCTGGTTTAGTATTAGTGCAGTGGGCATATATTCTAACAACTCTATTCTCCTCCAAGCCATTTTCAACATCCAGCACTTTTTGTCCCACGAGTCTCTTGTGCAGAAGTGACAACCAGTAGTTCTAAAATTTTAAAGGTAAAGTTAAAGAAAGGTGAAGGTAATTTATTTTACTTCCATAACGCAGGGAGCGGTTACCCAATTTTCCCTAGTCAGGGGTTCATGTATATGTGACAGAGTCAAAAGACACTATTTTGGACAGTAATTATTTAGTCATAAATCTATATTTTTA